TCTCTCTCTCTCTCTCTCTCTCTCTCTCTGCCTGAAACAATACTCTGAATTATAGCGATATATTTTAGATTTTTTATTTGTTTTTTCGACTCCCATTTTCTTTTCTTTTTTTTAATTTTTTTTTATTTTTATATTATATGTATATTTGGTTAGTTTTATTTTTGCGGAATATTGTGAAATGGAAACTATCTATCCGTTGACTGGAAGGGAGATGATAGGAGGGAGTTATTGTCTACAACTGCGATGTATCTGATTTCATGCAACCCATTTCATCACATGGTGCACTTTACGCCGACCTCTACTTTGCGGCTTGCGCAATGCACAATGTATGGGTGAAAGTCGGATGAAACCGATCGGAACTGTTCTGTTCGGAAAATCTAGTTTTTTTTCGAAAATACAAAATTAATTCCAATCTAATTCCAAAATTTTTGGAGTCTATAATTTTATTCCAATTCCAATACTCTCGAAATTTTCGGAATTTCGGAAATCACACAAATTTTAAAATTTCAAAACTTAGCGTAAAATTTTAAATTTTTTAACATAATTCCGCTTTGCACCCCTGAAATTCACCATTTTGGCACTTTGCACCCCGAAAACAATTTATGGCACTTTACACCCTCAAAACACATTTAATTGTTCAAAATGCACCCCGCTCTATTTTCCGGTCATATTTTCTGGCGTTGACTAATTTTCTGATTATCAACATGGGTATTTTTGTCTCTTCATCGACTTTTTCTTTGGGGTGCAAAGTGCTAATGTACCCTAGTTGACAATCAGAAAATTAGTCAACACCGGAAAATAGAGTGGGGTGCATTTTGATTGATCAAATGTGTTTTGAGGGTGCCAAGTGCCATAAAAAAATCGAGAGTGCAAAATGCTAAAATGATGCATTTCAACGGTGCAAAATAGAATTAAGCCTCTTTCATAATTTTACAAAAATACCACTTTGATAAAAGTATATATTTTTTGTACAATCCAATAACAAACATAAGAAACCAAGTTTTTGTAGGTGGCATGACCCACAAGTACAAGTACAAATAGATCAAATGAAAGTATTTGGCATGGCCCATAAGGTAAAAAATATAATTAAATATTTATTTTATTTTGCATTAAGTAAATAAGTAATATATAATATATACTATTTATAGGTTTTTTTCCGGAAAAATTAAAAATTTCGAAAATTAAATAGGATTAGAAATTAAAATTTTCATTTTTTTTATATAATTCTAATTCCAATCCAAAAGACATCGAATTTTTTTAAAAATCAAAACTTACAGAAATAAAATGAAAAAAAAAATTGTTCCAAAATCAGAACTTTTCGAATCGGAACCGGTGGAAATTGGAATCTCCATTATAACTTTCAACCCTAAGTCCCTAACGCAAGGCAATAAAAAGAGTGTTACTATTTGCAGCGGGGCTTTTACTGAAATTGGCTTATTTGCAGCGGTGTCTTTTTCATTTAAAATTTTTCAATTTTCAATTTCTCTCTCCTATTCTCAAACACTCTCTAGAAATTCCAATTTCGTAAATTTTTTCGACATTCAAACCGTACAAACGAGGCTCGATTCCGGTAAATTTTTGATATCCTACTACTTTTAATTATTTTTATTTCCAATTTAGGTAAAAACATATGTTTAGGATTAGATCTAGCAAAAATTCGAAAAAAAAATAAAAAAATTCAAAGCTCCCGTGCTCCAGAACACGGGAGATTTAAACTCCTTTTTAAATTTTAATTTACCGAAAAAAAAAAAAAAATTATTTAAAGTCCCCGTCCTGCAGAACACGGGAATTTGAAGAATCTTCAAGTTCCCGTGTTCTGCAGGACGGGGACTTTAAATAATTTGATTGTCCCGTTCTGCAGAACACGGGACCTTGAAGATTCTTCAAGTTCCCGGTGTCTGCAGACCGGGAAAATAAATTTTTTGATTTTTTTTTTTTTTATATTATTTTATTTAATTAGTTTGTTTGTCTTTTACAGATGGCACGTCAGGACAAGGGGAAAGGGCTTATGGGTGCTTCTTCGAGTTCGGATAAAGTTCCGAAATTTAAATTTCGGTATGGCGGGCAAGGCGCGACGGAAGCCGAGGCGGAAGCGGAGCGCATTCGTATGACTGCATCTCACCGTCGTAGGAGAGTTATGGAGCGCGACACTGATTTACCCGTCGTGGACGAGATTCCCCACATAGAACATAATTCTAGATCTATGGCGGGTAGCATTCGATCTTTAGGGGCAGATTCTCGTATCCCCTACGAGGGACACGAGGAGGAGCATGACCATGTTGGGAGCGATTTTGATGATGTTCCCGTCCCGGTTGCGTGCGCACGGAAGTCTCGGTACGAGTTCGACACTTTTAGTGGCCCACTTGAGTTACATGGTCCGGCTCCAGGAGGACCGACTGATTGGAGGATGATTCCTAGTTTCAAGAGTCATATTGCCTACTACATTTGGGCAGGACATGTAAGTTTAAATATATTGAATGGTGTTCACAGCACCAGTAGAAGCACTAATCCAACCCTTGGACGATTTATGAGCACTTTCCACCCTGTTAATAGCCATTAAAATAACAACTAATAATTAAAAACGCCCACAATATAATATAAAATACAAGACGATAATGAAACCAAAAATACCTAGATGTCGACGTATTCCCAAAATGCAAAATCTTATTAGTCCATGCTTTGACGAATTTGTGCTTGTATATTAGCCAAGT